TTGACCAACCTGGTATGAGAGACTCTGAGTGTGGCGGTGCACTCTCCAGTATAGCTCAATGGATCGCTGAGGTGCGCAAACCGTCACACCACGGTAAGGTCCAGGCTCTTCGTGACGGGAGTGAATGCAAGGCCAGCATAAATAGACCTGATTCCGTAAGCAATACTTGGGGACTCGTTGTGTTTGATGAAGAAAAACGTGTAACGTCGATTGCGAATAGTTACAATTTACCTAGTTCCATTGGCTTTAGGCAGCTTGTTGGGTCAATACGTGTCGTGTCGTGGTGCGTTCGGGCACGGGCCGGATGTAACTACTTGTTTGTATCTTCGTAAGGTTTCCTTGAGTATATTACATTATGATATAGATGCAGATCCAAATTCTGTTCGACCACACGTCGACGAGGCAAGTATCACCACTAGATCCGATGTGAGTAGGAGTAGTGACGGCAATTCAGAGTTTTGATATGTCAACAAGTCTGGTTAGTGGATGTAGGTCTAGTCTATTGTCAATAGCTAGCACGTAAGAATCTGGTCTCCCCTTTCTGACTACTGCGGACTATAGTCCCATGAAAGCAGGATGCTCCACGTAAGCAAAATTGCGACCCAGAACGGGTTTGGTGATGCGGGACAGCATATTCCAGCGTGATTCCCAGAACTCTATTCGGTTATACGCTTTTTTATCGTACTTTTTGGGTCGTCAGCCTTGCTGCTTGCAGATGGTGCATAAGCGTGACACAAAGTCATCACAAACCAGTAGTTGTCCATCCTATGAGGTGTTCTTGCTACCCGTGATCAGCGATTCCAAGCGGGCTCTCTTAAATATAGTCTGGAAACATATAAAGTGCTTTCTATTTACCATGCAGATACCTTCCCACACCCGCCCAGATGTACTGGAGGTTGTCCATAGTGCCTCATTGAGGTTGATCCAAATAAACCAGTCTCCTCACCCTCCAGGTTAAGGACTGGGACGTGCATGGCGACTAGTTCCTTAGGAAGTTGGACAGCGTTGGTAGTCTCACACCGATCGCCGCTGTCTTGTGGTCATGCTTTTGAGCTGTAGGCCTTAGGTGATACCCCATACTTCCCCGTGCTATGTTCTTTCTTGGACAGCTGAACGGTTTTATATATCTTAGGACACCGAGCATAATTCATTCATTAGTTGCGTTATTTGCCAGCTCAAGCACAACCTGTGTATGAATAGAAAAACTTTGTGGGATCCTAAGACTTTGGACGTGGTGGAAGCCGATACACCTATAAGTGTCCAAAAACTGTTTCATCTTGCACACAATGGAAACCAAAAACTGTTGTGAATCTGATCACAACTGGATAGATATTAGTAATAAATGATCATGCAGCCGTAAAACCCTTTAGGTGCATAGCTGACATGCCACCCAAGGGAGCTATGGGGACCGAGATACTTCCAGGTTGCCTAGGCGTAGATGGGGACAGTCCAGATGCAGACGCGGTTCAAACCACGAACCTTTCGACCACTAGGTTCGCGGCCCAACCAGTGAGCTCCCTCGGCTCTGGGCAGATAATAGTGGACTTGTATTATGCGGACGACGTTGTTCTGTTGGCTGGCGATTATGCATCAGCACAAACGGCTTTTACTCGCGTAGCAGAGCTGTTTCCTTTCTCGGATATGCGCTTTGCACCTCCCAGCTACTGGACTTCCCACCTCTTTGCATTCCTTTAAGGAGCTTGAGGTTGTTGACAAGTTCGCTTATCTTGACTGCTGTGTACAGACAGCTGTGTTGTGACAGATGAATTCAATATGTGCCTCATAATAGTACAAGTAATATTCGTTCAGCTTTGGCACTCTTTCAGTGCTCAACTGCCATGCCACCAGAAGGAAACATGAGGGCTGGGATAATGCCAGGTTACCCAAGCATAGACAGGAGCAGAGGTCGGGTTCGAACCTCGGATCTTCGGGTCAGTAACTTCTCTCTCTGACCGCTGGGCTACTAATCGACTTGTGTCATGTTTGGCTTCAGAACCAGATGTTGATGAAGCTGAAAGACAACGTTTAAAAAACGTCTGTGACACCAGTCTTACATTATGGCTGTGAAGCTTTGCTTCTCCTATGTGAAGACCCCATAAGTTTCCGAACGTCTCGACACCAAAATCTTCCCAACATAATAGGCGTTAACTGCTTGCGACCCTTACCAGGTACTGGGTAGTGGGTCGGTTGACCAGAGCAGCAGATTAAGCTGGTCAGGTTGAGGTAGTTTGTGTTTGTAGGACTGTTCGATGATCGTCCACCAAAAAATTCATGTTTTCAATGCCACGCGATTCCCGGCGAAGGATGGACCATGATATCGCTACACCAAGTAAAAGCGACTGCTGTCATTTTGTTCGCAGTGGGATCTCCGTTAATTCCTGGGTGGAGTCCACGTAATTCTCCTACGTTCAGCTACAACACCCCTTTGGCGCCTAGCTGTCATGCCCCCCAAAGATGTGATTGGAAACCCTGCGGCTTTCACCGATTTTGGAAGGCGTATACACTTTGATTTGGGCTGTCTCCCTTTCTGATTTAGAGATAATTCAATAGTTTCCAACTCTTCAACTTAGTTTACGTGGCCTTCACCATGTGTTCGTGGTAGTTAAGCACGACCTTCCGCTGCTGCCGTGTAGCTCGATATAGTGCACTACCTGACATGTACCACAGTATGGGCAATGGATAGCCTGGAGACGGCTTATGAGGGATGTAACCAAAGGTCTTATTTGCACTTGTGTCTATCGTTTATGGGGTTGGGTTAATGGAGACCCACCACCTCAATGGTTAGAAGCGGTCACCACCCCGATGTCAAGCAACCAGTGCGCTTTTGTACCTTATCGCCCCTACTCATTGATCCGCAGTCCTTTCGTCTTTTTTCATCTGCTTTCCTGCTCGTCATCTATCCTACGTTCTCTGCTGCTAGTAGGTGCGCCACCTGACCCACCGCCCATACATACACGGGTCACGGTAAAAAAATGGAACTGAACTGGAGCATCAATTTCAAAGTCTGATGAGTCCACTGGATGTCAGGATGTGTTTCCAGGGTAGCCGATTTTAAGCGGTTCAAAGGTCCGAATTATTCTGGCAACATGTGGTAGCAGGTGGATCTTTCGTCTTTGTGAATATTAAAATTAACTCCAAAGTTGTCTGGTCGACTAAGGGGGCATAGATCGGCTACGCGTAAACAACGAATCTGTTCCATTTTTTTGCTGTTCTTCCATGTAGACTCCCACTCTTGAGCTACTTGTGGAGCTACTCGTCAGCTTCTTCCGTTTTTGTCCATGCTTTGGATTCTCATCAATTGAAAGTTCATTCACTCATCTGTTTCATATGTGGTCGAGTTCACAGCTCCGACAAAAGAGATTCGTCTATAATTTGTACATGAAAATCCTGAGTGAGCCTTTTGTAGTCGACGTAAAGCAAACCAAATACGAACAATGCTTCCTTACGAACAGTGCTTCCTTCTGGTGGCATGTCGGCCAGGCACCAAAAGGTTGCTACAGCTGAATGATGGCTATGCTTTACACAAAACTATTTGCAACAAATTCCAACCTTTGTACATCGTGGTTGACTAAGAAACGCATCTCTTAATTGAGCTAACCTTAACGAGCAGGGTGGGGGGCACTGCAAAGCTGGTGGGTGAGCCGTCAGAAGGACGCTTCTAAGGCGGTCTCCCGTATAACATATTCGCAGATATATGCTGCACTCTATCGTTTGGTATACCATTTGGATACTGCTGATCAACCACCCATTGTTCCTAGTTGCGGTATTGAAGAGCCATATTTTTGGCCGCTGTTTTTGTGTGACGTCAGGATTTGTGAACTGCACACGACTTAGATTCCAGTACTGGCGAAATGGCTTATCTTGCTTTTTTGGCAACATAGATTGACATTATGCTGTACAAACAATTCAAGATCAATAAAAGGAAGTTTGCCAATAGACACCGCTTGTGTACGGGCGAGCTGTAAAATTGCTACTATTTGTTTCACTATTAGTCCGCTGTAGATCCGTTGTCCAGTCAAAGCAGCAACACAAGCATTCAAGCGAGGGAACTCTCCAACAGCTCTTCTTCGAGTCCTTTCGGTACTTCAAACCACGAATTCAACAGCATACTCATAAGCGGAGCATTGGTAGTTGGTGATGTACCTCCTGGTGATCTCGGTTGTAATAATAACAACATCGGCCTGGACGTCAATGCCGCTTCTCTGAGGAAGCCGTCTGTTTTATCCCCTGGTGAGGAAAAAATAGATCAAAATGCCCGACAATGCCAACAACCCGTGGTTACCCACTCAACATTCAGGTAAATTGTATATTGGATCTTTAGTTATCCCATTTTGATCTTCATTGTGTAGGCAATCGATTTTTATCCCTTTGTTGATGAATCACCTTTTTCCATGGACGACTTCAGTAACCTCTGTTAACCACTAGTGTCGATACGATTTGGATTTTCTGCTCATATTGTTCCACAATAACATACAGTAACTTCATACCGTCCCGATGGCACACTTAACAATGTTGCTTGCAAACGTGTCTCTATGAGTGATTTTGGTTGCTGCTCTACTTCATAGATCTCCATATAACCATAGCAACGGCACCAACTGGGACACGCAAGTACCTGAAGGGGCTTCCCAACAGTACCATTTAGCCTTCCAGCGTGATCGCGATTCAAATTCCCCATCAGTCCAAAGTGAGTTTTGTGTTAATTATATTCTCCTCAGTTTTGCTACTGTCAGAGAGTGAGTCGCCTAAGGAGAGGTATCACTAATGTTTATTACCTTAATGTCTTCGGGGTTATTTTGAAAACATGGATTATTGGATTATAGTATGGCCAGCTAAATGGACTGTACCATAGCAGTAGTCTCGTTCATTCTCAAGGTCGTTGTGGAAATAGTCCACAATAGTTTATTCTTCAGTTCGTTGTCATTGTGAACATCAGCACAAGTGTTTGACTCCCGTTTTTGGGAAGTTAGATTATCTGGTGCTTATTGAGCATATTGTTCCTCAAGTTGTTTTAAAGTGATACCTGATTCGTTTACGATTTTCAAAGCCCTCACGATTTCTCGCCTGCATAATGTAACTAACACATCCCTCTACCAATAACCCTAATGGTATTTTTTCCAATTGCTTTTTTCACCGACCTGTTAGAGAATGAACGTAACACACACGTGACCCAGTCGATTGCACCCGCTGGCCTGATCAGTCATTATTACAGCGTTGCCCCCAACGCCCCAGTCGTTCGATCAAACGGGCCGTCTGACAATGTCCTCGAGACCAATTCCTTGGGGAGAAGTTCGGACCAACAGGGACGTAATTGGAAGGTTGCTGAGATCAAACTATCGCCCGTTACCCACCGAGGACTTGTGGGGGAGATTGGTTCTACACCTGGCGAGTTTGGTTTGTTGATATATAAATGAACCACCTGTAAAATTTTCTCTTGATTTCAGTTCCTTTCATGGGAATAACTTGCTTTGTTAACTGAATCACTTTGACGGAATGGTCCAATAACTGCAGCTTTTTTCCTTGCTTAGGAGTACATGGACCAGAAGATCGCCATAGTTTTTATGTAGTATGGTCTGCACTTTACACGTTTTCTCCCTATATACACACGTCAAAGTCAGCAGTGCAGTCTCCCCTTCGGTATTATCCCAATTTCGTGGTGTGCAATTGTTTTGTAGCTTATTTGGCTCCATACCAACTCGAATTCACTGGCAATATGGAACCCCTATAGTGCATTTGGTTGTCGTGCACACAGACCCTTCATGGTTGATTCAAGTTCCACATTTTCACTCTGAGCAGAGGCTGATTGCCCAACAACAATAACTTTCGTATGACTGGTTCTCGGCAAAGACCAATATTTACGGTTCTCATCGTGGTATACTTTTTTGTTGCGCACCAGCTTTGGCATAACTAGTTACCCTTGTCTACCATTTTTTTTACTCACAGTGAACGGGCAGCATACACCATTGCAGCTAGACAATGGCGAAAAGAGCCATCTTCCATCTCATATTCCTCTCGGACAACCAAGTAGCCTGCCAATAAATGCAGAAGATCGACGAGAACTTCTGTACGCGGCTCGGGGACGCCAGGTGGAGGAGTTGACAAACAATCTGAACCGCTTGCAGGACGAACTTGCCAAGGAAAAACGGTTGGCCGCTCATCGGCTGACCTTAGCTGAAGGTCTGTCTGTTTCTCCGCCTCCACCTTATCTTTTTTCACTATTCTAACCATTTAGCGACTGTTTAGTAGATCCATCTGCTGGTCATACTACCAACGAGGAAGGGGAGGGAAAGGCTAACAGTTGAATCGCTCAGCTTGGATCCGTATTCAGCCTTCTTGGAACACTGTTTTCACAAAACTTCGCATTTCTGAAACCTCAGACATGTCCTCACTCACTTGTTAATTGGGTTCCGGATGACTTGCTTAGGATGTTTTTGAAAGAACTGTTGGCAATATATCGGTAACAACAACAACCAAACCAATAGAGACTGCATCAAGCATCGTTCGAGCTGATGCCAGTTCTGTTTTCAGATATCCACCATCTCTGTCTTCGTTTGTTTTAGGTGAAAGACAAGCTTTAACAACCAGACTGTCCTCTTCTGAAACCCTGATTCGCGACGTACAGCAGCAATTAAGTGTGGAACAGGAGAGCTCATCCAAGCTAGCCCAGCGGTTGAGTGCGTTGCAGCAATCAAATTCGGAGGTTAGTCATACTTACCTCTTTCGCTCAGACAATTTGTTGTGTCTTTGGCTTTTCATTACCTCCCACACGCGAGGTGCTAGTCCTCTGGCAGCAACAACTATGGAAGCATGGTCCTCATGTCAATATCTCCACCATTTTTTCCATGGTATGTGATAATGAGCATTCTATTAAACTTATGCACTGGTCACCGGATAAAAAACGCCCCAAAGCGACCAATAATTACCGGTCTCTTCAGCGGTTTCTGTAAAATTTTTCATAATATAATATTCGCGTTCTGCATGTTCAATTTTCACAGAGTGTCGTTGCTACTCAGCAGAGTTCATAGCATTTCCGGACGATTCATACATCAAAAGATCCATCTGGCCGACTTTTGAAACGATACTCTGAGGAGTCCATCGTTTCACTGTCCGCCTAAAGTTTGAAGCAGGTTTTACTTTTCAAATCTTGATTTTTTTGTACTGTGCTTTGTCACATTCGCGACTAGCTGTAGGGCCAGATCAGACTAAGTACAAACGATGGTCGTTCTGCGCGTTCGTGATGACCCTACGAAACACTGGTGTTGTGTGTTGTCGGGATTCCGACTGCATCGTATTCCACGGTAGCTCCTCGCTCGTCTCATCAGCATCTCTAAATGAGCCTCTTGTGTTCTTCATGACTATAAAGTGCTGGTAGCTGCTGTCAGTGTTCGTTTGATGATATTGCTGATGCTGTAGGTGTCTAGGGTCTATTGTGGGAATTGAGGAATATTCCATCAATCTCAGTTCTTGATTCTTCTACCGCACTTGTGAATGTCTCCACAGTGCGTAAGAAATATGGGATAAATGATGGCTCGCTCTCTTCAGAGAGTGTTTCTTCACTAGGTGGTTTTTGAAATCTCCGTAGCAAGCACACTGTTCAAACACCGTGTGATTGTCACACTAAAACTGCGTACTTACTTCTCATCTTCATAACCCAACTGATGCCCATCCCACAGCTGACCAATGAATTATCCGCACTTCGATCAACGAATGAATCTCTTTCCGCTCAGTTGATTGAACTGACCACCGGTGATGCCGCTCGGCGTGCTGAGGAGCGTGAAGGAAAGCTGACGGAAGCACTTGAACGACGATATGCCCTGGCGAATGAGGCAACCACAGCCGAGTTACAGTTAGCCAAACAACGGTTGCTAGAAAAGGTAACTGTCAGCTCATTATCGTTGTACCATATGCAGTCATGGGTTTTGTACGACACCCGATGTTTGTGACTTTCCTCCTTTAGCAACTTGTCATGGCTTTACCTAGCATTTTCGTTATTCTTCCTATTTTTAGCCAATCTCGACATCCACTTGTTTTCACATCGTTTTTTGGTATTCTGCCAGGATAAGAAGTGGCAGACTTACAACGCCAGCTGGAGACTTGCAGATCAGATGCGAACAGGGCTCAAACGGAATTCCATGAAACCATCCAGCGGACAAATAGACAATTAGAGGATGCGCAACAACACTGCCAGCGATTAGCTTCCTCTGGTAAGTCCTTTGTTTATGCACGTCACGGTAGTAGTTCCGATTGTTGATCTGCCTAAACAATCCTCTTTCGTAGCAGGATCGAGTTTCTCGGAGCGTGCGGCGTTTTCATTGTCATGATGCACTGAAGAATATTCAGATGGAACAAGGCATCTGACGAATCATAAATGACACATTCAATCTGGATGCCAGACTTCCACTGAGGCTCAGTGTTCTGGCTGATCACAGCTGAAGAGAGTGGGAATGAAGAAAGGGAAGGAAATGGGCCGAAAGAGCAAGGCTGCTGCCATCTTGCTTTTTGCTTTCGAGCGGATTTCAAACATATAGACGAGCGGTTCCTGAACAGCTCCGTTTTCCAGTTAATCAACTATAAGTTCTTTCCTGTCTGATGCTGGAAGAAGTCATCTTGATCGCACAATTTGCCGAGAAAGAGTGATCTGCTTATATCAGTAGAGTGGCTGGGATTGGTGTTCACTGTTCCAACCTACGCAGTCCATGTGGTTCTTATGCTTCCCTTGATTTTATTATTTAATACTGTGGCCTCCAATTCATTGGTAAATTGATGAGAGCCACGTTAGGACTTCTGATAAAGTTCTAATTAGGTGCGGAAAATTGGTGTCGATAATCCAGGAAAAGATTAGGAATGTTGCAACCTAGGAATTCTCAACTGAGCTAAAACGCTCCACAATGTGAGCAGCCGATTTGTACATACTGCCATAGCAACTGCAGAAATCATGTCGTGTCACTTAGATGTTGCCAGTTTTTTGTGAAACATGAAAACGTTTGGTAAAAAGATCGTTCAGCTGTAGCACCCTTACGGTGCCTAACTGCCAAGCCACTCGTGGGAATCACGAGGGCTGGGATACTGCCAATTTGCCTAAGCCTAGATGGAGGAAGTCGAGAGGCAGAGGTCGGTTTCGAACCACGGACCTTGCGGTCAGTAAATTCGCGCTCTGACCATTTATCCATCTCGCCTCTAACCACTGAGCCTTTTATCAAACACTGCTGCTCGCCACTGTGGTATCCTGAACCTTTAACCAAGCATATCACCCTACTAGTTTGATTATGCGGCCTCTCGCTTTGAAGTATATCTCTTCTTACGTTTAAGGAATGGAATACCCCCTAACAATCCAGTAATTCGGTAATCATTTGTGCTACACTTGTTTTTGTGCTCTTGTTATCATACAGCATATTGCATTGTCTTTTTTCACCAACAGCTCTGTGTTCCGAAGTGTCGGATCTGCGGCAAAAACTGTGCGAATTGGAAACGTCAAGGAAAATTACCGAGGATGTTAATAAAATACTGCAGGTTGGTCCTGTATACACCACCAGCTCGCGATATTTTAATCTTTGTTACAGTACTGTTGGTTGCTATCTTCGTGCCTACTGCTCAGTAGGGTGTTTTATCCTAATGTTAATAGACGGAACTTTCACTAACCTTTTAATCTTGCATGTGTTTTTCATTCTGCGTCATACCCTGACACTGTCAGGAACATAGGCCACACACTTTTATTCTTGTTAAGTGCAAAAGGGTACTTAACGCGTAGCTTGGCAGAGATGCTACGAGAAGTCTGAGTGCTGTCCGCCTGCCACTAGGGAGCCCACTTCACCTTCTTTACGACTGGACGGAGCCACCGAAAAATATATCAAATAATGTCAGTAGCTTACATGTTAACCTTTCCCTGGGTTTATCAAACATTTGGAAGTGTAGACACCTCGTTCGTTCGCTGTGGGTTATTACTATACACTGTCCTCTTCCTGTTTTTTTTTCTATCTGAAAATCCGACTCTTATGATAATGAAGCACTAACGTTCAATGCAGTTGTTCATGGTGTCTTTTTACCCGTTGGCGGAATTCTGCCAACCTTAGCCTCATTTATGTGCTTGTTCTCCACCGTCGGTCGTTTGTGAAAGCCAAGTCGACGTATGGATGAAAAGTACGCCACAAGGCGTAGCGTCATTGGTGGGGGCTCTGTTACTGATGTCCGACAGTCATAAATCTTTATAATACCAGCAGACCACGAGTTGCTTAGAAGGAAAATTCGCACGACGAGTGAACCTTCCGTTTCTGTCGTTAGTAGAAAAGCCAGTCGATATGTGGCCACCTGATGTGAATTTTGTAAGCGAAGGCTGAGTGATGCTATAGCCTAAGTGCTACTTAACCGCACTGCTGATCAGCCGCTCTTTTATGAACGGTTTAGTGTCCAGCTATCAGCGTGTCAGGTGTTTGAATCTCTTTAGTGATTCGTGAGATGCGTGCTGCTGGTGATTCTCCATAAGGATGGTGATACAGCTGTACATAGGCGTAGGCGTAGGCGGACTTCATTCACATGACGAAATCTCCATCGTATTTTCCAAGTCTTTTCATACTACTATAACATAAAACAAATCAGAAAAGCGCGTTAGACCCGCTTCTGAATTTCATATGCCTGCAACGTCGCTCAACGAATTTGGCTGGTCCAAAATTGAACGCTCTTGATGAGAGGACACTGTATACATACATTATATATATACATATATATACATTATATATATACATTATATATTATATATATATATAAAGTCGCACTATATTTATATCGGGAGACAGCACACTCAAGATGACTCAGTATTTTTCAAAAGCCAGTTCTGAGAGCTGTCAAAATTTTTGTGCAGTTTTTTCACAACTCAGATCTTGAATCTTTTACGTTACCCACGGAAGTGAGTTCACCCTTATGAGTGGTTAAAAAACTCTTCCCATGGTGTAACTGTTTCGTTACTCGTAGTTTAGAAGTACAAGTTGTCTGACGTGGCGAGGTTGCAAGAGACTTCCAATTTGAAAGTTTTTGTAGCTGACCAGGTATGTGTTCGGATCTCTACCAAAACGTGAGACCCACTTTCATGTGGCGCATTTCTTTACCAATTTCTTTACCAATTAAAGTTGGCTTTCCTAAATTCCATAAAAATATGTTTAAGTTCTAACGAACAACCAGTCAGTCTCCGTTCCAAATGTCACATTTAAGTGTTTTTATACTTAATTGGGTAATTAGGTAGTTCGCACCTTCTCGGAGCTAGGTGATAGCATTTAGGATTGACTGTACTGGATAATCTATCGAAAAATCGGACATTTTGTAGAGCAAGACTAGAATGTTCATTTTCCCTCTCTGGTTCAACTATGTCCGAGACCGCTGAAGACGGCTAATTCTGGACATATCCTTGGGATTGGCCATTCTTGCGCGGACTTTCTAGCTCCCAGTCACCCAATACTAACAAGTTTCATCTGTGTGGTCAGACCAGGAATTCAACATGGTTTTCACTTGGGTCCAGCTACGGGATTTCCGCCAGTCTGCCCGTACAATCAGTTGGACCCTGCTAATGAGGCTTAGGTTGACGCATCACGCTCTGTTTGCTAATAAGCACATTCATTTTCACGTAGGTACAAGAAGTCTGTTCAATCGTTAACTGACGATGGTGTGAGGTCTGTGTGTGTGGTCTGACATTTCCACAGGTGATTATGTCTATGCCTATGCTTGTGTAACCACCGATTCCTAGTCAGCTAAGCTTCGGGTCGCCTGAATGCAACTTTGGTCAGTTTTCTTGTGCGTGACAGGCATGGCATCTGTTGCTAATTACACAAGATTCAGTTTAGTTCAGTTTATCAGCTATAAACCACGCACCTAGGGAACGTTGTCGCCAGCTGCCATAGTGTCGGTTACCGGAAAACAGGAGATCAGAGGGAATGTAGCATTATACCAGTTTTTTCTAAATCTAGTGGCTGGATAGCTGTGTGTGATGGATGCCCTCCGTACTCTTATGTGTCCTTTTACAGGAGGAACTTCATGATCTTCGGGAACAAATTTCCTTGTACGAAGGAGCTTTGCGATTGGAATCTGAGTACAAGGGAGATGAGTTTATGGACATCATAAGCAACCAATACAACCAAAGTTCCCCGATGCCTGATCCTCCCTTAGTAAAAAAGAAACGACCGAAATCGTTGGACCACGTAGCCTTCTGTGAGAACGAGTTTACCATTTGTGTATCTGGGGCAAATCCACGTCCATCCTCGGCTGTGGACAATGTTACCGATCCACTTGAAGACGGTCGGGGTGTGGGAGAGTTTCGTAAACTGTACGGTGGGAATGTGCCGTATTCAACTGAATCTTTCAGGTTGGTCTGCACATTTATTTGCTTTCGAGATATTCAAATAACCCCTTTTGTGCTTCATGGGTGTGGCTGTGCAGTAATACACATAAGCGTTACAGAAACCGTACACAAAATACCCTCATTGGACAACCTGTTAGAGAGCGATATGGTCCAGATGCCAGCTTCTTTCTTTAAAAACTCATGTTCTTTGGGTTGTATGCTACTACCGGCTACATGAGGTCTCCTCTAGTATAAAATTTCATCAGAACACAGGTGGATCAATCACAATACTGGTTAGCATTTCTATATTGTTCGTCTCAGGATTGAGTGCCAGTTTGCCAGACTCGTGCATATAATTAATCTGACCTCGGAAGCAGGGTCCTCGTCATGTGGATAAGTTCCATCAAACTGTGGCGATAGAGCGTGAATTTACTCACCGGAAGGTCCATGGTTCGAACCCGACCTCTGCCTCTGAACTTCCCCTGTCTAGGCTTGGGCCAACTGGCAGTATCCCAGCCCTCGTGCTTCCTTTGGGTGGCATGGCGGCTAGACACCGGAAAAGTGTTACAGCTGAACGAGTGTGGCGATATTTGGAATAATTTTTACTTGGAGTATTTAACCGAGTTTCGAGAAAACCTTATCCCCCGTGATGTTCAACCTCAAATGAGCAATACGGATTTTGGTTACCGTGCTGAAGTCTCAATAGGCAGTGGCGATCTGTGCGAGTACTTTTGGCTGAAAGTGATTCTTATAGTAATTAAAGATATCCTCTTCCGGACAGATCACATTTCAGAGGAGATCACACTTGGATGGTCTTGTGAGTGGCTAAATCCCTCTCAGATGAGACCAATTTTGGTTGGTCTCTTCAGTTGACCTCTTCCGTGGAAGACAACTGTACAATATTTTTGTTCATCTAGCGCACAAAATTTTGTGGGTTTAGTATTCCCATTGCGAGCAGACTGAGTTTTAACGTGATCTAGTGGTTTGTGCATTCGTGTAACCCGTTGAACTATGCGGGTGGACGTCCCTGTTTCACGCACAGTCTCTTCGTGTCAGTCAGTAGGTAGAGCGCTGTTTGGTGACCGGTTCCTTGAAAGGTGAATGTGGTGGATTCATACCGGACACCACTGCCTTGCGATCGAACTTCTTCCACAGCAACCTGGTTGCTGTGCTATATTAAGCATACTGGTATGCAGGAATAGGTTCTTGTTGACACCCCTGTTCTCCCTATTTACACGCACTCCTTCACTATTCCACTCCGTTGACTGTAATCTCTTTGTAGATTCACCTCTGATGAACGACAACTCTGTTCGCCTCGTGTCTTTTTTAGCTACGGAGTCTATACCATCAATGCTGCATTCTTCTATCCTGAGTTGTGGTTCTATTGGTTGCGCTAAACTTGCGCGTTAAAGCAGTAGGAAAAAGGGCTGTTCTAGCCCCTTCGCTGGACTTGCCCTTAATTGATGTGTATCTTTTATCTGAAACGAGAATTCAATATCTGAGTGCGGCTGTCGCATTGAACCTCATATCCGGTTGCTCTCCTATGGCATTCCGGAGGCCACCACGTGTGGTACTGCCAGACACCACTTTGAGTCACCGATTATAAGGATCTCTGTTTGACTGGATACCCGTTAGTAACTGTCTCCGTGTGATTCACATGGTAACATCCGTGAAAACACTCCAGAAACACGCTATCGATTGGCGTCTGTTCCCGGTACCCACTTATGCCCCAATAGGCTTTAGCCATGATACTCAAAATGGTAGATTTTTACAACACTGAGCGCTTTACTACAGCGAACTGGAAGCTCGGATATTGCTGTTTTGGCTTTAGACGCGTAGTAGGGTAGGCTAGTGAGGCTCAGTTGGGTGGTCGTTTTGGGCTGGACTGACAACGATCAATTATCCTTTTTGTTGCGTCAAAAAGGCATCTGTTTGGTCGCAAGGGCACGCAATATGTACGCAACATTGCGGGTTATTTTTAGCATTCTGACTAGGTAAGACCTTTCTGAAGTGACCGGTGTGGTGGAGATAAATGTGCCGATACCACTCTGGCACACATGGTTCAACTTTCGAGGAAGCACAGTGCGTGTGTGCCATGTAGGGACTGACCTGTGGCAAAGGTTGCTACCATTGATACGGGAGCTTAGTACATGAGGATCACAACGGGACAGATGCGATCACTGTGGAGGTCGGTTGTGTTGAATGGATTTGGTGTATTATTTGGTTGCGTTTTATATCCGGACTACCGTGGCAAAATAGCGAACCAGTCCTGTGTTGACCAAGTGTGTTTGTCCAATAGTAGCAGGTTCTACACTGAAAGACCTGCCTCGGTTAGGGTAATGTCCGATGCCGAAGTGCTTCTACTGATCACTGTCATCTGTCCAGTACGTTTTCATTCATCATATGGAACAAAATGGCTGTCTGCCTGCTCTGTTGGTATATCTGTTCGCGGAAGACAAGTTACGGAACTACAGATATGTATGTTTTAATTTAAGCGTTTCCATAAAATGTACGGCACGTACAAAACCCTGTTGCTCAGGTGCGTGTGAAATAAGGTCCAGCTGAAATCCAATCACCATAAACCAGTTGACTTTTGTTCAGACTTTCTGGCATCCACTCAGAGACTGTTTCGTGGTTTCCATACTGCCCATTCAATAGATGATCTCCCCACTTTTGGCGTAGCTGTTGCAGTTTTTTTTTTAGCTTTCTGCCTACCGTTTTCTTTATATCATCCAACCTCAAGCGAACCTCCGAAATCAGCACAACCAGCTCGTACCCCAAGTGCATCAGACCGTGGTTCAGAGGCGTTCCGACCCTCATCACATCAGAAATTCACAACTAGCACTCCAGCTCCCAACTCGAGCCAGTCACCCTCAATGTTGAGTCGTTTGCGCTCGGAACTCACACGTGCCTTGTCGGGCTACAAGGCCAAACGCGAACAGGTTACCCAACTGCATGAAGTGGTGTTCACCACTCGCTGTCAGCTTCATGAAGCGGTGGAAAAATCTAAGCGCACGGAGAAGAATACTGCCTTGTTGCAGGTGAGAGCCAATGATACCGCCTTACATATTCCGAACTGGCATAGAGTCTTCGGTGAGCGACCCCAAGTCGCATACCTGTTTCCCCCACTGGAAAGATACATAGGATAAAAATTTCTGACTAATGGTGAATTAAATGCACACCAAACCTGCTTTATGGTCGACTGTTTTTCATTTCTTGCCTGGGGCATACTATTCACTATCTCAGCTGTATATTTATTTTCAGAGGTGTTTTGCGATCAGTGACCTCCAGCTGAATCTGGCTGCTAATAGTGTTTTGCTGCAAGATCTGTCTGTAGCAACTGACTTGGAATATGTTCGAAAATCACGTCGGTCTGCTCCGTCAGTACAGGCAGCATCGCAGCTCTAATTGACAGATGAAGGAGAATAACCATTTGAACCATGGGACCTACTTCGAAACATAATCTTCCAGATTGCCGAGGTGATGCTCCTTTTGACGGCTCTATAGCTGTAATTCAAAGCAGATTGGATTTAATGCTTGATATTCCTTGAGATTTGATCGTCCCTAGATTGTAGACACATCACAGTCTCCTCCTCCACTGTGGTGATCAGATTGGGTTGAGGATTTGTCCTGTTATGCTAGGTAATGCAAGCTTCCACTGGCCAATAGTCTCTTTCAGCAAAGCTCTTTTCGGCAGCTGGTCGGCTATGCAGACGAGTCTAACCGTATGCAAAAGGTCTTGATCAGGCCTCGGTTGTACGCTATCTTACGGAGCTATGGAAACGAAGACACTGACCGTAAGGGGGACATATATTATAAACCCCTATCTGGATGCAGGAAAACTAAACTGACATTTGACTCCGCATCCTGTCGGGGATAGGCAAATCAGGGTGAATGGTACTCAGAATATCGAAAAAGGGGCTGAAGTAACGATTATAGCCAAAGACCAAAATGTTGTCAAGGAAGCACTTCGAATATTGTCACACATTTGGGTCTGTTTCTACTGCAAAAATATCGACTAGAGTTGGATTTAATGGACCACGCCTATCGACACTGTCCACGTGCCGATAAGCAATTCATCCGAATTCAGTGTGGTTATTTTTGTGCACAACCGTATGGGATTATCAAGAAACGCATTGAAAACACCGAAGGAAGTGTCACTGACCTTTGTGTAGTCACTGTAGCCTGGATTTAGGCGGGCGAACATGAACCTGCTGGTAGTTTGTAATATTCCGGTATCGGGCATGTCCTTGTAAGACTACAGTCTGCACAACCCTTGGCTCCCTCAGCTTTCATCTAATCATATACAGGTTGCATTGCGATAACAGATAACTGTTGAGGAGAAAGACCATATGTTTAAGACTTTTTGACCAGCACATAAGACTGCATATCCCGTTTGACGAAGAGACATCTCACGACCACATCGAAGTCGGTTTGTATTGAAAATTAGTGAAAATGCCTTGTTAATACGCATCCTGAAATGTCTCTTATCGATCCAGCGTTACTGGTGCGCAGCACTTATGTGAAAAGCCTTTAAGAAATTTGGGATGCACGTGAATTAATCCAGGCTACGTTATTCTGTCTGTTGTTCTAGGACAGTGAAATTCTGTCTGAATGACCCGGACGCATGACTCTAAGCTGGCCAAGCATGTCGCACACCTCATGCAGCCTTAACAGTAAGATTATGTTCGGATCTCGAAAGCCTCGACCATAGGAATTAATCCATCCTTATTGGGAGTAACCTGGTGGATGTAAAAGGTCAAGGCACACCACAACCGACAGATTTAAGCTATTTCTCACAGACACGTGCCAGCCAACTGGGTGACACAGCTGGGTAATTTGAATTAGGCGTGGAGTTTGATTTTGACCGTCCGTCCGAATCTTCAGGCAACCTGACTACTGGTGCGTAGTCAGAAGGTTCTCTCTCGTTTTTTGCACTTATTTAAGTTCATTGATTATCTCTTGACTAACAAAATTATGCTGCGGCTTTTCGCAAATTCTAACTAGCGGTGCGGAACTTTCTTTCTATCGATGAAAAACTAAAATTTGTCATCACCGAACAATATCCTAACTGATGGTTTTCTCCAGTTGCATTTGTATTGCCACTTCAGTGTACTTTTTATTGCTTTTGTCTCTTCATCCTCAGGATCGATTGGTGAGTTTAGAACAGGAGCTAACTAGTTCTCGTGAACTGAAAGGCTCACCCGGTCCCCGTGAGCATTTGTTGCAGGGGCAAGTGGAGCGGCTGAGAGCGGATTATGCAGCATTAGAGGAGGAATTACGAGTAAGTTTTCAGTAGTATTTTGCTCGGCTTTTCCTCCCATTTCTTCCATCTTGAATCCAGCATTCAACTGGTTTCTTGAGATATCCGTTCATCTGTCATTGGTTCTTTGGTTGGATTAGGTGATTCGGAAAAGCCTTTAGAATGTTGATGGAAGGCTTATTACAGAAGGCGCATGAGCTGGCCGTATTATTACCTCATGTTTAACCCCTGCTGGCTGTGCTGATTCAAACACAGCGGTTCCTTTACCATAATTTCCTAACTTCAGATGGACCTTGTCTATCGTAATGTGCACCTAGTTATGGTCAAACTAAATACCGTTTTTTCTCGGACAGAGGGCATTCTCAGGAGCTCCGCGGTAAGCACCTCCGCAGAATTTTCTGTTTATCGAAAAGCCACCCCCATCTCTTTAGAAAGTTCACCAATTTGTTCCTTGAGGAGTGAGTTTATTCCCAAGGAATTTCCTTAGGATCATACATTAACCGATACAGGAGAACGTTACGTCTTTCGAAGATCACTTAAAGGTTTCGAACCGCACGATTAAAGGGGTTTCCAAACTGCCCGAATCCTCTCTCATCTGGTTAACCTAGCTAAAAGATGGTCTCAAAACAAGTGGAGGAATATTCTTGACACTAGGTGGATGTTGAGCAAGGGTAGTTTCTTCTGCGTCATTCATGATGCCTTAATTGCTGATCCTACCATGCACATGTTACTGTTTTTAATTGATAATATGTCGAATACTGACGGATCCAGGGTTCAAGTAAGTGAGCTTTCCAGTTAGCAATTTTGTAGCTATTTACAGGGTGCATTGTCAACAACTCTGGATGATTACTGGACGCCTATTTGGTGCTGTTCTACAACGTTCACTCAGATACGGTTGAAATTGAACAAAGATCCCGACGAGCTCGTTCTGGAAAACTAGAAGTAAACAAGTAAAATGCACCAACAACCTGAACACAAGCTACATAGCTCATGGGGTAATCAAGATATTCGTTTTCAAGCAGTGACCAAATTCCGGTGAAGCTTGAAAGAAATCAACATGAATTGCACTCTGCTGACCAACACAATGCATAGCCATTGTATAGTGTGCTGAAACTATTGGTATATAGTTTCATATTGTCCTGTTTCAAAACTTGGTACGCCAGTGTTATATGTAATACGACCCTTCGAAGAAAATTTAGTCTTGAGAGGCTAAAATGCTTTCATCCCCGCCGTAGCCTCTTCGGCTCTTTTTATCCACCTACGATTTTGAGTCACAAGTGATATGTCGATGCATCATTGTTCTGGTATTGGTAGAGCCGTACAGTTCCCGCTAGTGTCCCCAAGCTAACAACCGTGAGCAAGACTGTGGAATTTTTATCGCGGACTGAATGGTTAACCGCGAAGAATCTTATCGTCATCATCGATAAGACAACACCAGTATCGAAGAGCGATGCCCGATCAGCTGTTGTTTACTTGAACGTCCTTATCTGTCGCTGATTTGTTTCTCACCCATCTAGTCTACACGAGCCCGTCTACAGTCCGCTCTTGGTGCCGAAGCTCGGGCGTTGGAGAATGAGAAAGCCGCCACTGAGCGTCTCAATGCCAGCGCTGCTGAACGAGATGCTGCGATAGATCGAGCGCGTGCTGTGTGTGAAGTACATTATACATCCATGCGCCGTCGTCTGGAAGTTGATTGGGCTAATGAACGTGAGGCTGCGACGAAACGGGCGGAACAAGCGTTGTGTCAAGCACGGTAAGTGGTTGCCCTTAATTCATTTGGTCTGTTCAAATGCATTCCGTTTTTCAAGTCTTTACCTGTCTCGACACTGATATGCACAACTTCGAAGGGAGGAAGTCTGGGCACACGTTGTGGTTAAGTGATATGCCGCTTGGTTTTATCATGGCTTTTTCCGAACGGATTCATAAGTTTCACGTACTTTTGCGCAAGATGATAGTTTCGAATGCAAAACCGCGATCGCTTTTTTGAGCCATAAAAGCCATATTAAAAACGTTTGTGGAACCCATATCCTTCTTAATCTCGGTGCCATTCCTTACCATTTTGAGGTCGCACTAGAACTAATACCGTACGGGTTTTTCGACCAACATACAGAGTTCCCTAACTGTTCACTTCCTCCTTGGAACGGGAAACAGCAGCCTTCTCACTAATTCCACCGAGTCACAGTGGTTCGCCCTTCTGAACACTTTCAAGTAATTTCTAGGCGGCCAGTCACTTGGTATCTAACTCTAACTCTACCTATCGTGCTCAAGGTAGCGCAATTTTCAAGGCGTCATACTGACCAGAAGGCATTTCGACTGCTCCTGTCTGGACTCGCACAACCTGACAACACGACAGCCCCCCTGTTTTCCCGATTGTCATGACGGTTAGGCACCGAAAAGGATGTTTAAACTGAAAGACTAAATACAATTATTTATTTTGTTGTCTAGCTAACTCTTTGTGACTTCTTTCATGTTGATCGAAGAAAGCTCTGGTTAGGGGAAAGTGACTGTCATATAACTGGCGACGAAGAAACAATGGCCTCGTTTTCAGTGCTCATTAGCCTTGTTGGGCCAGGAAGGGTTGTGGATAAAGCCTGTGAGTGGACTTACCGTATCTCCTTTCTCGCTCAAATCCTTCGTAACATGTTGAAGCAATTCTTTCTCCGCACGTTTTTTGATCACTTGCGTTTCAACGTGCTGTGCGTACACGTTTGTCGGTAATTCATGTAGATGTGCCGTCCTTACCGGACTTTCGTTGAACTTGCGCTGATTCATGCAACAATAGGCCGGGAATATCCGTAACTTGACGCTTGTGTTCTTTTCATGTACGCATTTTGTACATGTAGTACCGCATTTTGTTGATAAATCTCAAGACTTCGTAATTCTTGGCTTGTGATTTCGTGTGTTACTCAATTGGCCTTCCCAGAATACGTCACGTATTCTACGCTTGATTTCTTCTTTCTTGCTCCCGGGAATTACGTTCTTGGATCAGTTGATTGTATTTTACTCCATCTCGTGCGTATTATCTTTCATTCCTTTATCTTCGGTTCAAACAGTCAGGAATGTGCTGAACTTGAAGTTGAGCTGCATCGTGTCACGAAACTCTATCAGGATGCGCAGCTGGCCACACAACAAGCTGTGGAGAATGCATTACTCGAGGTGAGCTGAGCCGCTGTTTCCCGTACTTTCGCTGTTGTTTTCTGCGTGTAACTACTATCTTTTCATCTCTCTTACGCAACACAGGCAATGCAAGAACGCGAAGCCGAGCGGATTCGATTCTGGCGCGAGGAACTGCCAAATCAGGTGCTTTTTCTGCACAATTTCGTTGCTTCGAACTTCCTACATTTATCTGCTCTTTACATACAGAATGTGATACGTGGTCTTCGTTTTGCGTGATGAGCTTAGTCTTTCAGCAACTTGCCCTGCCACTTTTAGTGCATCTGTTTTCAGGTTAAGGTCAATCTACTTTATAAATTCGATGAATCGAATTTATCGGTTTTTTAGTATACTACTGTATACTGCTGCTTGAGCGCTTTTCTAGTTCTATGTTATGGCTACCGATAATGTAACTCGTACATTTTTCTTGCCCTTAGCTGGCCGCTGCCCGTTCTCTCTGGGAACAAGAAATAAAAAATAACCGTCACTCTGTGGTCCAGTCGGAAAAACGGGGCTCTGCCGATCGCGCGTCAAAACGACCTATAACTCTCGGTGTGTCATTAATGAGCGACTATCAGTTCTAAACTTTCTGTGATATGTCGTTCTCGTTTTCTTTTTGCTAGTTGACATACATGTTGTGATGGGGGTTGCGGGCAATTAGGTACATATAATGAGCGGAAATGAGTATGATATTTGTTGGTATTCTGTCCATCTAAGACTTTTTAGCGGTTTAGTTCTCTAATGGCGGCTTGTAATATCTCCTCTCTTCCTCTTGGTCAGACTATTATCAATCAGCATCAATTAGTCTCCCTTCTGGGAGCCTGTTGTGTCCTCTCCTGTTTGTATTTGCTTTAACCTTGGGATCTCAGATTCCTGAATCAAACTAGTGTTGTTTCACTGGACGTCTGTTCTAAACTTCGCTATCTGTCAATTCCTTTCCCCCTTCGTCGCCGTATTCTGAGGAATTCCAAAACACCCCTATTTGTACTCGTTTGAAATTTCACCCGCGAGGGAGTTAGGATGAAGACACTCGGGCGCAAGCTTGCTATGTATTTCAATTCAATTTTTAACTTACTGCAATCAACCCTGCTCATCGGCAAGACAGCAATGAAAATGATAAAATGAGAACGGTAAAACGTTGATGCTGAAACAATAGTCATCTAATGTAAATATGAGAGCATCAGTGATTTCGCAATTTAGCTGCCACTGCGGTGGTCTCCAACAACTGATTAGTTGAACCCTTAGATTCTCATTCTGGCAATCGGCATGCAGTAAAACGGTTCAGACCTTTATTTTAGCCTTTCTACTGTACCACCACTGTCCACTTTCTTACGCCATAGTCCATGAAGCCCTTCGTGCAACCCATGACCGAGCGTGGATAACGTGCGTATTTCTATTTAACTATGTGGGGCCTCTACTATTTGTTTACTAAAGTAGGAGCGTTTCATAGTCGTACACAATGTACCATTGTCGGTGGCATTACTTCACGCCATCCCCACGATTCGTTAGTTTGAGTAAAGGTAGAACGCCGGACTCTCCCTCTTCTCGTGTTAACTTCGTCGACAGTGTTTGTACTGTAACGGAGCACAAAAGCTGGCCGTATACGTCCACTTGGTTTGAGGTTTTTGGCAGTCGATTATTTCTAATGTGACTTAAAATTCCGGGGACAAAGGTTAGCCTTGCACTGGTTTGCCTACAACAGGAACCACCAGCAGGTCCTCTGATGCCTCTATACTGTGTATTACTCTATTTCGTCTAGTTTAGGCCATGGTAGTCGTACAATATGCAATGAACACAGCTGATATAGGTAACTGAGTTTTTATTTTATAATTCATGTATATATCTGGCCAAAAGTACTCTTTTCCTAAATTTCCCTAACCGGTGGGCTGTAGACCAGAAAGGTGACCCACTTACAAAAGAAAACCTTTAAAATGCTCGCAAATGTATGCAACATGCTTTAAGGTTATGACGTTCATTCAGTGCTCTTCATGTGTTTCATCATTTTTCTTGATACTCCAGATGTTCTGTATCTTGTCCTACCCTCGTAGCAGTTGATTCTATCCGACTCTCTTGCACAGCTTCTGCCGCATCCCAAACTCGCCCGATTCCTTCAAACTGCACCGGCTCTCAGACAAATACCCGCATTCTTCAAGTCAATTCAGCCGACGTCCAGACCGTAAGTTCTGTGTATTTCGTGCCCATGCGTCTGAATTGTCCAGCAATTGTTTTTCGCCATATCATCACTAGCTTGATTTTTATTGTTTGTTCCTCTAACCATACTTTATCTGGCTAGTTTCAGCTTGGTTCCAGCTACCAAGTCATGAATTTAGATGTACGGTATGTATACTAGTTTGGGGGGACTTTTTCTCACGCTTCTCCAAAACGTTTCATGACCTAAGTAGAGGAAGTAGATACAGCGTGAGCATCGCGCCGTAGTCACTCTTTACCGGTGAAAGGAAGAACGCCCTGGCTGCGGAGTTATTTATTAGAAAATGCCAACTGACCGGGCAGTTACAGACTATTGGACAGCGAATCAGAACTCTCATTTGCATCTTGTTTACAAAAACTGAATATCCATCTTCTCCTTGAATGCGTCTTCCTGAACTTTCTTGAATATTCATTGACTGTTGCTTGAATCCAAGCAAGTGCTACAAAGCGACTTCAAAAATTCCGCAACAGGTCACCCTTTTCAAGAGACGCAAAGCGCATTTACAAGAAGAGAACATACTACTCGCACGCATCCCCCATCAGTAGTATCACCGTCACACCGGTACCCAGTCATAAAGAAGTTATATCCTGAATTACCACCGACAGTTTTTTATTGGTTCCTTCTGAGGGAATACAGTATAAACTACCATCAACTACCATCTGGCGAATTAGTTCTTTGGTAGCCCGCCGTGATTCCGATGCAGTGACTGAGGAAACATCGATTATGTAAATCCGCTGGACAAATTGGCTGTTCGGAGTCTTCATCGGCTTTATGAGAAGTATTTTTTGAAGAATTGCGCTTGTTCCAGCTCGGCGCCGTTTATTTCCTGGTCCTAGGATGATCAAATGCATACTATAGTCTTGCTCGCGTTCCTCATTTACATCAATGTGTTGTCCTACCAGAGTGACACGGGGATGAAGTTTCTGGTTTGCATTTGTCTGCCACATTCAAGAGCCCAAGTAGAAGGCAGTAACGGCAACCGCCATTTAGTGAGGTGTGTCACGAACGCACATGTGTCGTGTGTACATTCGTGCGAAGATGTAACGTTAGTAATTTACGACCAGATAAATTAAATGAAGATAATCGTTCACCTGTAACACCATTTTGGTACCTAGCTGTCGTGCCATCCAAAGGAAGCACGAGGGTAGTTGGCCCGAGCCTAGACAGGGGAAGTTGAGGGGCAGACGTCGGGTTCGAACCACGGACCTTTCGGTCAGTAAATTCGCGCTCTAACCACCAAGCCACCTCACCCAGAAGGTTGAACAAAATGTTCGGGTTTTAGAAATATGTAGGAATCACATATAGATCACCAGAAACAGTGATCTCGACTGGTTATTCCAATCCTTTTCGTGTTTCATGTACCTGAAATTAGCTAGTAGTTGAAAACTAATGGTTTTTAGTGGGACGGACATTCGGGCGCTACGTGAGCGCCACAAAATCAGAGACTCATCGTTTCGCTTCGTTAAGGTGTTCCTGTCATCGATCAAAATACGAAACTTAGAAGGCGATACATGTATACACGTAAATGTAAGCATGTCGGCACCATACGGTCATCCTTCCTTTGATGGAGACGTAGTATACCGTTGGGAATTTCATTTGACTGCTAAAAATGTCCCGTTCGGATAGTTTTAATTTTTCTTGAAGACATGAAGTCTTGAATAACGGATAGGATTAAGGGTCTATAGGCCGGCGAAAAAGTGCCTCCTTACGGAGTAGTACGTTTGACACTCCATGCTGAGTCATTATTCCACTGGGGACGAGATGGACCAAGTGGTAAGAGCGCGAATTTACTGAGCTCATAGTCTGTGGTTCGAACCCGACCTCCGCCTATCGACTTCCCCTGTCTAGGCTTGGGCAACCTGGCAGCATCCCAGCCCTCGTGCTTCCTTCAGGTAGCATGGCAGTTAGGCGCCGGTAGGGTGCTACAGCTGAACACACTCTATTCCACTGACGGTCAGCAGGCCATCGTAGTTTATTAATACCTTCTCGGCTGCTCCGAAGAATTTCGCGCGCATTTCGGGCAACCCAAGCTGGCGATACCACATAGCAGTCTTCACCATTCACAATGCACACCTGTCTTGCCAATCGGCTACCTGACTCTGAATAGGAAATCAGTGATTCATGACATTTTCAATTGACTTTTCTATCTTTTCTTCCTCAGGAAATTGCTCCAATCCTTTCTGTTTGTGGCCTCGGTACGGGAAATGCGTCGTGCCAACCAATCAAACAATCGGGACAAACGGATTTGCGAGTGTTACCCAAAGTATATGGCGAACACTGCGTACAATGTTTAAGCATTCAACTCCTCGAATCTGAATTCCTCAGCGTTCAGGTTTTGGATGATCAGCTCCGTCGGTTCTTGAGAGACCGGTTGAAGCTTTATCGTCGTCGGGCTTGGAACTCTGTTGGAATGGCCCTGTGTGAGGCGGTTCACAGACACAATGTGCGTCCTTAGGATGTTTTCATTGGCGTCCTCGGTTTTGTGTGCTTTTGCTCTTGGCCTTAACGAGTAGTTTATTGAGACCTTGACCAACTAAACTGTCACATTCCTCCAGACCTGCTTTTTCCAGCTATATTTGTTGCTCTGAAATGTGGTTTTATACAGGAATTTCAACGATCATCGATATCCGTGCGTTTACATGTTTTGCCCGACGATAGTTGCCTGGCTAACATATCCTAATCTGGATAAACTGAGGCGGCATGTACTTATCGAATACAGCTTTCCAAGGGAGGCCCTCTCTTGGAGAGTTATTCACAGCCTGTCCTTCATGGTATTCTTAATGTGGGATTTACAGGGTTCTGGGGCTTCAGTGATCATTCCTTGGCTTTTCGAGCTAGGCACCGAATGGAAAACACAGTCGCGTTGGCTACCGCCTTGTTCCCTAGCTGGAAGTGCTGGTCCGAGTCACATCAGTTGTTTGTGCCACCATCATCAGTGCACATTTTTCCGGTTCTCATCCCATCAACCATACAGACTTATTCGATATCAACTAAGTGGATGGACCATTGCCTTCAGTGCGCCGCCGTTCCTATCCATGTCTTTAGTGGACATGGACATCCTTGTGGCTGAAATTGGCACATCACTAGCAGACGGCTTGTAGTAAGTGGACCATATTAAACTAAAAGTACATTCCTGTGAACATTCTGAGTTTGTCTTCTCATATGCGTCTTTTTAACACGGCTTGACGAGTTTTACAGCTTTTCCACAGGTAGGGATGTGGTAGCTCTAAAGTTTTTACAGCGACTGTACAGTGATTGGTTGTAAACTAAATACATGTTGTCCACCACCACCACTTGTTTATGTTCGCCTGTTCTAGTTGGAAGCACTGTTGCAGACTGTAGTGCCCGAAGTAGAAAAGTCAGAACTGGCAACTGGCGGGAATGCTCCTGAACCTGATGCCAATTGTACGGATAAACTAGTGTCATCCACAGAATTCGGTGACTCAGACAGTGAACAAACAACCGATCTGGTTGTTGATGGCCAAATGACTCGCCCCGAGGTTCTCAGACGCGTGGAACAGCTGGTTTTAGCTTTAATTTCATTGCAAGAAGACCTCAACACGACCAAGAACAATTTGCAACAAGCACATTTAAAACTGGAAGAGGTGCGTGACGGTAACCCATTGGCTTCCGAACTTTACCATTCCGCTCTGCGGAAGATTAAAGGTAGGTGAAGGTTGTACATGAAGTACTTTTTGTCTATATCGTCTTNTACTTCCGTATGTCCTCTGCGCCTGGGAGCCACGTCTCTGATCTATAAAGCGGTATGGATCGCACTATCGTAGTGTAAACTCTTCCCTTGATAGACAAACTGACGTCACGTCGGCGCTATAAGTGTTGGAGATTGGTAAAAGCTGTCCTGGCCTTTCTGGTTCGAGAAACAATCTCATCTCCAGCCGGTCCACTGGAACTTATACAACTTCCTAGGTAAACAAATTTATCTACCACATGGATTCGCTCACCTGCAAGTATGAGGTGTGGTTTTGATCTCACTCACTCTGGTAGCAACACTTTACACTTTGCAGGTGTGAAGCGCATGCCAAAGCGTGCGGCAGAGTTATTTAGGTTATTTAGAATTGTTTGCATTTGGCAGGGATCTGAACCAAGGAGAGCAATATCGTCTGCATACTCAATGTCTGTGAGTGAACGTCTCAGGAGCATTTCAACTCACGAGGTTTCAGAGGCGGGCAGAGAAATTTCAAACAGCATATCAATAACAAGGTTGAACATGAAACGGGAATGACGACAACCTTGCCTTACACCACTGGACTCAGGCGAGATCTTCCCGTATACTCGTACGCGCCCACAGGAGTTCGCATACAGTACCCTCATAAGGGAGAGCAATTTGGAAGCGACACCTTTGATCGCCAGACACTGCCAAATTTGCCGACGATCGACAGAATCAAAAGTAGCTTTCAAATCCACAGGAACGACCAACGTGGGATGTCTGAAGAAGAATTCGTCTTAAGGTAAAGATATGGTCGATGTGTCATCATCCAGGGTGAAACACAGCTTGATTCTCACGAGTCTGTCTATCCCGATAATCTATCAACCTGTGCGAAATAATGCCACAGAGCACTTTAGATGCGATGGATACAAGGCTGATAGCACAATGGTTTCCACATGACGTTCTTGCTCCCTTTTTGAAACCTGGGATGACTGTCCAAGAGTTCCATTCGGCCGGCAGTGTTTTCTTCCCAAATCTTCTGCAGTATGGTTGTCGGACTGTTCACCAAGACCTCACAACCTTTGAAGAGCGCTGGATGTAGACCATCCGGACCAGGTGCCTTGTCGCGCTTCTGGATTGGAACCTCACGCTGGATTTCGGTTGCTGATGGTGGTTTGGTGTAAATATTCCATTCGGGCCCGCTTGGTTCTTCTTGCGGTTATGTTGAAGGAAACCTCGTGAACTGCTCTTGGAAGTGCTTAGCTCACCGCTCAAGACGGTGATTGAGGGAGTGAATTGCTGTTCCGTCTTTTTCGCATATTGTCTCACTGATACCTGCCTTTTGACCCGTTGATCGGATCAGTTGAAACAGGGCGCGAGCGTTGCCTGCAGCGAAAGGCTTCTATATCTGGGCCTTGGAAATCCGCCAGCGTTCTCTGTCATTCTTCAAGCTCCCGATTATCCTGTGTTTGAGGGATCTGCGTGCGCCATCATAGTCGCTAGTTGCTGGTGTAGCCTTTCTGGCAGCAATAAGATCTGCTGATCTCGAAGGTATCCAGTGTTTATTGAGTCGAGTCAGATGGGTTAGACAAACAGTCCTGAAAGTTGACAGTATTGCTTCTTTTACTCGCCGCTAGTCATCCTCCAAGCAATCTTCGTCGTCTACATGACTGTACGTTTCTCGTAGCTTTCTAGTCAGATCAGCTCGATACTCTTCGGCCACTGAACCTTGTCGAAGTTGATGAACGGAGCTGCTCCCTTTCGGCACCCGTAGTGCTGGCGGAGAGTGAAGTGCTAAGTGGGCCAGCACAATGGCGTGATCAGAGTCAAGTTGCGTAGTCCTGGATGGTTGTGAAGCATTTACGGGTAGCCTATCTGCCTGGAAATCTTCATTTTGTCAAACAAAATTAGTGCATTTTTATTAGTATACGATAAATCGTCTTGGATACTGTCCCAAATCGTCCATTGAATTCCGTATTCTAATCTGCTGATTATGTTTAATTCTGCTACTGATTGGTGTCTTAGAAGTTCGTCTCTTGTTTTCGTTTGCAGTGTCCCGATTCATTATCTTCATCATTATCGCAGACAGAAACAGTCGCGTTAACATTGATGATTCACTTCCGTGCAACCATGTAGTTCATCTAACTATATTTAAGGTCTTAGGGTGAAAAGAAAAGAAAAGAGTGGATGGTGGATTTGACCTGATGCTGGCCTACCGCAAGCCTTCTGAGGTGCCTACACTTCCATGAGTTCAGTTAAGTAACCTGGAGGCGAACTGACAGCATGAACACCACTGACATCGAGGAGCCACCATTTCCTGCAATGACTCCAGCCAAGCGGTGGTGAGGTCACGAGGACCCTATCCTTAAAAGCGTACCACACCAAAAACACCCATACGCTTTGTAATCTCTGTAACATCATTTCTCTGAAGTCACAGTTTGCCCACCTCGTAGTTTGAGCCATTCTGAAAGAGGAACAGAGAACATCATTCGCCTCAGTAGACGGTGTTTCGGCGTGAGTGGCACATGGCCGAGCCACAGCTGATTTTACTAGATGTTTTCCATTAAAGTAGCTGCTGCGCAACCAAACACTTCTTTTCCACTCCATTGACGAGCGCGGATTCACTGACTGGAAGGTCCATGGTTCCAACCCGAACTCTACCTCTAGACTTTCCTTGTCTAGGCTTTAGCCCTCGTGCTTCCTTCGGGTGGTATGTCAGCTAGACGCCGGAAGGGTGTTACAGTTGAACGGTACTTGTTTTTATAGGTGGTCAAAAATCCGAAGCGCCTCGCGTCATCTGTCCGCAGGCGCCATGTTTCGCAACCGTATAACAACGCAGCGCTTTGCTGTAGCCTGGTACACGTGACCCTTGAGACCAAGCGATATGCCCTTTTTGACGCCATAAGTGATGCAAATTAGCGGACTTGATTCAGGCGTTTGAGCTTCATGTATTGACTTCATTAGACACACTTCTGTCAGAGCTAACGCAACTACCGAGGTGTGTGAAATTCTTCATAACATCCAGTGATTCTCCTTGAATTGTATGGGGTATTATCAGAGAGTTTCACCAATAACCTCAGCTAACTTTCAACCGAAATGAATTGGTCGAACTTAGATGTGTTGGAACGGGACTAACTCACTCGACATCTCTCGACTGGTTATCGGTAGCCCAACCAAGATCGTGTCCAAATTAACTTATGAACTCTTAGCCGGTCGTTTTGACGATCACTTATTTTTGGATCTTTTTTGTGCTCCTAAACATTGTTTCGTAGCGGCCTATTCCGCAACCGCGCAAGCCCGATAGGACGTTGCTTAAAACGCGCTTGACAAGCTATGTTTTCTGTTATCGCCGCTATCTTATATCCTTGCTCAAAGATGGCGTTCAATGCATGTTTTTAGGAACGTGTATGAGCTAGCCTTGTTCTAACCCTGTCTTTGACGTAATGGATGAGGTTTGGTGGCTCAGTGAGGCAATTTTCGGATACGGTGGATGGGACCCTTTATCATTCATTATCTTTGTAAATAGCCGAATAGCATCAGTATTTGTTATTTTCCCAGTAACTCTTGTGTAGTTTATTTAATTGCGCATTTCCCATAACCTATGTAACGGGTTTCTTACAGAGGAGGTTCTCAACTATGTGCATACTTGCCAAACACGCGCAGCACAAACCCTCCACTCTGAGTTAGGTCGTGTCCATCGTCGCGCTTGCCGCCAGTTCACCAACCATCTTCGGCAAGCCCTATACGAAGCCGGTGCACCTGTGGGTAACACATCGCATCCACGTGTGGTCTTTCCAGTTCGACGGAATGCCAGTCCTACACGTTCAAATCCACACTCTATGGAAGCTTCTGTTGGATCCGTGCCGGCGACTGTTTTGCGAACACCTAACTCGGAAAATGTCGAGGCTCGTCAGGATTCCTCTGCCTTACTTCCACCAAACGACAGTTCAAGCGAGCCCACAAACAAACTACTCACATCCACAAAGTAACCTGCTTTGATTTTTCGGTTTACACTTGCATCGTTAAAGGATGTGCAACCAACGTTTTTTTTTTGCAAATCAGCAGACCTGATTAATCAGTCACATTGGACCAACCCTTATCGATGCATCAGTCGGTTTTTCATCGATTTCCGAAAATATCATCAATGAGGAACACAATCAACATATTGCTAGACTGATGCTAACTTAAGGGTGGTCGTTTTGTGCTTTTTCATGTTGGTTTCCAATGACACCAACCGAATCCGTTGGATTGTTACGTCTCACACAAACAATAGATATAAATCGGCCGAATCGCTGGTGAATGAACGGTCCGGTGCTGTTCAGAAGGCACCTGCTTTGGGCTGCCGCATCAGGAGTGAGACAGTAATGCCCTACTCCCTGCGCCCTCGAGCCAGGCCGCCCCCTACAGCCAAGTAGATCAGGCTATTAATTCATTAGATCCGGTTGGCGTCCCTCAAGAAAAGCCCAACAACCGCTGTCTCGTGGCCCAGACTTTTGAGTCAGAGGCTAAGGACAGGGTCCCCGAACATCGTCCCACTTGTGGGTCAGGCTTTTGAGTCAAAGGCTCAAGGTGCGGTACCTCAACTGAACCCCTTTCTTCGGCCTGGGCACCAGGGAACTACCACTTGCCATAGCAGCTCTTCGCTCACCGGCCCTCCCCCTCATTCCCTCCCAACCCATCGTATAGTGCAGTGCAGTCAACTCATCTGCCAACCCCTGAGCCACTATCCCGTGTCTCAACTAGCACTCAGAAAAATGAACAAAAATAATCACATACTGACCTCAAAAGATCTGATCCGCGTTGCAGCGTTCAATGTCCGTACTCTATGTCAGTGGTTAATTACACTGACGGAGTCAGTGGCGCTGGTGAATCAAAACTATCGCCTTCAATGCGTAGCTACCCTATTTCTGAACAAACTGAGCATGCCTTCGCCTCCAAGGCTGGGTTGTTTATTCCAGTTTCCCGTTTTCCGGTGATCGAAACTGTAGCAGCTTGAACCAACGTGCCAATGACACACGGTTTATAGCTGATAAACTGATTGATTGATTGGTTGAAACTGTCCATCCGATTAGCCCATAAACGTTGTGCACTTGGATATGGAGTATTGTCACATTTGTCTATCTAATCAGTGCGCATTGCCCGATTAGCGGTGGTTGAGTGAAGTCTTTCTAAGTGCATAATGAACACTCAAGTATAATTCAGCCGTCATATCACGAACAAGTCATTTGATTCGATTAATTATCGAACTCTGAAAAACTCCTATCACGAAGCTTCCATTATCCTTGCATTGTAACAATGCTTGATACATGTACCTTTGTTGTTCTATCCAACCAGCCATCTGCGTCAACAGCATGCACCATTAGGTAAACAGGGATAATATGAGGTTTTTCAGCAAGTGAGCTCATACAAGTAGGTCGGAATGGACTTATTCCTCAGAGATTAGGCTAAGTTTTAGAAACCAATCCACCTACTGAATCAATGCTTCATGCACCGGAAGCACTCCTCTGAGTTTGCTTATCACTCTGTGGTCTGTTGACAGTACTCACTCCAATGTTATTCGTGATGATGGTCTTGCCTGTTAGTCCGGAGGTCTTTTTTCAACCGTCTATAGAACTCAATTTGAATCACATCGACATCCGTTTTCTTTAGTTCCTTGTAGCTACCTCCGCAATATTTATGTTTGTTGTCCTCGTTACAGTTTGTCCACGGACCTAGAATCCCTACTGCACGTAATCGATGATGTGTGTGCCTCAACCGAATCCCGCTTCCAGACCAATTTATCCACTGGCACTGCACTTTTCGACGATTCAGTTGAAGTGTCTTCAAGAGCGTTCAAAGGCGAATCTACTGGAGTGTGGCTCGGCTCTCGGAATACTGCAGTGGTTCCTCCGGTCTCAGGTGACTTCAAATTCGAAACACGGCCATCCACGTCCGAGCTGGCAGATGTGAAAGATGGTGCTCCTTCGGTTGATTCTTCGTCACTGGTCAATTCTCATCCTCATGTCCCATCGAATGCAGCCTCGACTTGTTTGCATTCGGCTGCAGAGGAGGAGGTAAGACAACTGGAACAGCCGAGTTGTTGAATTCTCAATCAAACGCTTATTCAAGGATGAAACACAGCATTACAACGTTTCAGAATCCTTATTTTTTAGTCAATCCACTACATTGTTAAAACCTGTTTTGAGGTCCGTAAGACTTCTGGATTCTTCTGTTTGCGCTGTGGGGTATCCTCATTGACCAGTAGCTATGCCACGGAAGTTTGAAGTTGGCCTGACCTTTCTTGAGATATTTCTCATGGCATTCTGATGAAACTAATCTACCGAAGAGGTCTGAATGGACTGCATGTTCGTAGAAAAAACACAGCTACTGCCTACCACCACTGCATTCTTGAAATGATGCTTTGGAGTTTGTGTGGGGTCATTGTACAAGTGGATTTTTTGCCCACTTTAATGTGTTGTAGTATTTTTTTCGTGCTTTTTCTTTTTTTTTTCTTTGAGAAATCATAGTACACAGCAATGTACAATAGGGACATACGTTTTCCGAATCCGGCTTCTCAGTCCCCTTTTCTTGCATCCGCATGGCGCTCAAATAAAATTAGATCCCGGTTTATCGAATTCGTAGAATTCCCTTCATAGATTGAAGGGAACTGATATGACCAGCAGGTGAGAACCACAAAGATGATTGAGCGAGCGGTCCGTACATTTGAAAGACAAGTAAATGATGACTACGTATGCTCGACTAAACGAGAAATCATGAAGAGTAGCCTTGGAACTAGGGATCTAAAAAAGGCGATTTTGGTATTTAGCTGGAGGACCCAATGACCGTCGGCTAGGGTTCCCGTATAGCAGAACGCAGTTCGTACAGTCAACACGTGGATCAATGGACTCGGTACTGCAGGTGGATACATTCTGCTGTGCACCTTTTTGATTTAGTAGCTGGTTGTCATATGATCTGAACTGAAACAGTGCAGTTAGGTTTCACAACGACAAAAGGCCCACTGACCCTCTTCCAAGTGGTTGAGCGGAACACATGCATGGCTCTATTTGGTAAGCTCCAAAGCTCAGTCTCCATGAGTTTACTCCGCCGGGAATGACGTGGTCGCTGTTGACCCTCAGTCACAGGCTTAACTAACTTATGCGGTCCGACATAAGTTCAAGACTCTACTAATACGCATGGATATCATTGGTTGACTACCCGCGTGCACCTCTGTCGTAAATGTGGGAGCTGTGCGTACTGTTGTTCCGATGCAGTTTGAGTTTATCAGGCTAGAGATAGCTTCCGTTCTTTTTACTGGCGACTCATCAATCTTACTAATCAGCATTACAGTCCTGTGTATCAAGTCCGTCAAAATTTCTGAGTACCATCACAGCAGCCCTGCACGAAGAGCTAATCGATGTACCAGAGCAACTTTTTTCGTTAGTTTGGTAGTGTGGTGCCTTAGCTCGAAGTGACAAATGTTCCTTAGTTAGGTGGAGGTCTTGTCTTTTCGCTCGCTTGGTTGGACCCCATTTGTCTGATTGTTGTCATTCACTGACTGTCCTCTCGTGTGCGTGTAGTATGAACAAGACGCCCGGATCCTTCACCAAGCGTGTCCTTTCGGTTACAATATGTGTACTCAGATTTATCAAACCCCCTTCTACGCCACATCAACTACCCCGTCTTGCTGAAACTTTGTTGCCTAGTTCAAATTCTTCCCAACCCTCACTGATACCCCTAATCCGTCCCCACACTGTTTCATTGTAGCCTCTATCTGATTGTGCATCTTGTTCGACTGTGTCGCCCGTAAGCGTCACGCTTGTAAATCCGAAAAAGCGTATAGTTCGGTCACCTGTTCGTCTGGCACCTACGTCCTGTACATCTCCACCGAGCAGGTGGTCGTCTATCCAGTCTAGTCGGATTAAGTCATCCGTTCCCACGTTGGAGTCTCCAATTCCCCTACCACGGCACTTAAATACAAACTTACCTGAAGAGCCGGCGAATCCACAGTCCCTGACTATCACCTCCACCCATGCTGCAAACAAACGGGTGTCGAAATCTCAAGGTTCTCCCCCATCATCTTTGTCTACCCGCACTCGGCGTGTTTTGCGTCTCAGCCCATCCCCGACTGGTTTACCTTTACCATCTACTAAACGAGGTGACCGGTGATCACCAGAATAGTTTTGGTTATTGTTTTCCATTCTAACACCTCGTCTCCTGTGCTCATTTTCTTTTTTTGTTTGAAACTCTTCGCTTCTTTTCACTTATTTTTGCTACCCGTTCATCAAGCATGCAATAAAGAATGTGCCATCTGGTTCGTTGCGTTTTTCGTTTCACGCTCAACAAGCTGGCTGCTGGTTTAATGGGTTTGTTGTGTTTCATGTCTAACCCAGTGTATTTCCCCATATTCTGTTTGTCTTTCTCATATCCTTTAGGCTCAGCATGTTGTGGCAGTTCGCAAGCTGAGTGCAATCGCTCCTGAACTTCCTGACTCCCACACTGTGACATACCTCACAGACCCCCAGACCGTGGACGAGACCTCGAAACCTGTTCCCCGTTTACCGCGGACACGTGTGAGTCAACAGCCACGCTGCTGTGGTGATCAGTTTTCAAACGGCAACTCCTATCCGACCGCTTCATGCAACCTTGCTTCGGAATCGATCACATGTGATACACTGCTGTCGAGCTGTCCGAAGCGAGTTCATAAGCAACTGTTCAATCTGTTCGAGCACATCACCTCACCCACGGATAGATAGTGCTCCGATTTTATTGTTCAGTCAAGGATTCTCTGTATCCAGAATACTTGTGATATCCCGGCTGCTGCCTACCAACGTACACTCCAACTTTCATTCTTTGTGCGCTTGCTCGAATTTCCATATTTCACTCGTCATTGATGTTTTTCACAGCGTGGTTTTCTTTAACTTGTGCTTATGGGGATCCTGCATAGCTCCAAATTGGATACTGCCTCACGGTCAACATGCGATCGGTTTCCGCTTGTCGTCCTGCGAACGGGCAACCGTGCCACAAGAAACGACTCCGCAAAATGCTAATCCTGTTTATCGTTAGGAGATGGTCACTGACGTCTGTTTGTGTCATGGAAGTGGAATTGGGAATGGATATAGCTTGGCTAATACAGAGTTTTATGCGTCGAGAATCGTTCGTATTTTGCTCACGCATAAACTCGAAAAATCCCGACTTGATACACTACCATGCTGGTTGTGAACCGGGTTCTCACTGAGACTTCCGCATAACGACGGCACGTAGCAACGCCTCATTTTCGCTTGGACATTTGATGTCTGTATGCCCCTGGAAGCCTGTCTCATCTTTGTCTATCCTATTCGATCCAGCGTTGACGAATAGCGGATTTGGATGTGTTTTCCATCGTCAAGCATGCTCCAAATTTGTTTCAATTTGTAAACCTCAGATCACTTTTCGCACCGGAAATGTCACATTGAAACCTGACCATCGATGCCACTCCTAAATTTCCCAAATGAGTATTGCAACAGCTGCGGAGATGGCTCCGTGGTTGAGGTGCGAGGCTGCTGACCGGAAGGTTCAAGGTTCGAATCCAACCCTGGCTATTCAACCGCTCTTGTTTGGGCTTGGACATCCTGTTGACAACTTAGCCCTCATACTCCGAGTTGCAGGGCAT